CAACAGGAAAAACAGAAACAGAACAAAACCAGAAGTCTTGTGGCACGCTCTAGACCAGGGGTTCTTAACCTTGAGTTACTCAGGAGTTTTGGACTGCAACTCCCAGAAGCCTTCACCACCAGCTGTGCTGACTGGGGTTTCTGGGAGTTGCAGTTCAAAAGCATCCAAGTAACAAAGGTTAAGAACCCCTGCTCTAGACGAACCAATTGAGCTCACTGCAAGCCCATCCTGCCACAAATGTTCTAAATTGAGTTTAAAACCCCTGCTCTAGACGAACCGATTGAGCTCACTGCAAGCCCACCCTGCCACAAATGTTTCCCTCTGGAAAGGTGCAATTCTGCAAGCGAAAAATCTCATGAAACACCTTCCACATACGTCTCATTCTGTGTGAATTCTGCAGCAAAACGTGAGTCCAGGCTACCAAAATGTCCCACCTGCCTGGATTGGGGGGTGGTGGTGGTTAAATAAGCAGCTTTCTTTAGAAGCATTTGTTGGTACGGCGTATTTCATTCTTGTTTCATATGTGTAGACGTCCTGCTTTTAGCTTTTAAATATAGTCTTTAAACAGTCGTTAAACCACCTTGGGGCCTTTCAAGGAGAAAAGCCGGGTAAAAATGTTTTAAATAAATAAATATTAATGTTTGAACAGAGTGGTGTGTGGAGACAAATGACGGGGCATAGAGTAGAAAAACCTCCGGTTCAAGTCAATCTTCGCTTGGCTCTCAGTTACCTGTTAAATCATCCTAAATTCCTTTTTTTGGGGCGGGGGGAGGTTGAGCTACAGATGTAGGAAAGGAGTAGAAAGAACCTCATGGGGACTAGAAACATCCTGTCTCGTTTTAAAAATGAAGGAAATCCTAGGTTGATTTATCCTGCTGTCCAAGCACTTCACGTGACCTTCGCAATAAGGACTCGCCTTATGTCCTCTCTTTTTTTGCATTCTGCCTTCCTTGGCGGATGGAGATAACTTTTCTCCGTTGTGTGTTTGGCGGAAGAGAAGCAGGTGCCGGCCAGAGGAACAAGGTCCTTTTGGCCGCGATTCTTGCCGTCTGTCCCCGTTACCTCCTGCCCTCCGCCACCTGCTTCTGCAGGGGGAGTGTGACTCTTGTCACAGCTGGAGTGGTGACAAAAAGCTTCTGTGAATGAGGGCTCCTTTGACAGGCTGGCACCTGCTTTCATCGCACGGGGAGGCTGTGAGGAGCCTTCTGCAGAAAGCGGTGCTACAGTGTCGGGAGAAGAAAAGGAAAAAAAAGAAAGGCAGGAAAGGGAATTGAAGGAAGGAAGGAAGGAAGGAAGGAAAGGGAA